TCTTAGGCGGAGAGGCCATTTTGGCACATTTATCCAAAAATGTCACCAAACTGTGCCAAATGTAATTTTACCAAACCCCCAGTATTGATGTAAAAAACACGAGGTCACATAGCAGCTGGACCCACCGGTGGGTCCGTAGGGTTCTAGGGGTTAAGCGTCCTGACTTTAGTCGACTCTGATGGATATTTTTAGAGGAACCGGCTGCAAAGTTGATCACTGAAGCAGAAATACTACAGTTTGACATCAGCTCTAATAAAGCATCACAGCATCCCCCTGCAGGAGCTGCAGCTTTTAGCTCAGCTTCATGGTTTGTTCTCTGATTGCTGTCATCTGCCAACTGCTTTCTGATCGGGGGCCATAAAGGAGGCGAGGACGGAAGTTATTTATTATTCCTGCATTTTCTCACTGTAGCCATAGATCTATTCCATTCAAAGCGAATCATATCGATGGGTTGCTTCATTCACATTGTTTTGTTTTTTTTTTACATTACACATGTTTACAGAAAAGTGCATGTGTTCTTTAAAGGATATCACAATGCTCAGTCAGGCTGATCATCCTGCACACATTTTTATTCCTAAACATTTTCAGCTCTTTTTAAACAATAGTTAGAATTAATAGAATGCATCATTTCCTATATGATGCTTATATTTTTTTAGATGTTCCATGGTTTGTATCTCGGTCCCTGGGGCTTTTAATGCTCAGCATCACTCGTCTCGATTTAACTTTGTGCTGCTCTGTTTCTCCTCTTCTTTCCATGCTTTGTGGAACACATGCTCACCAGTGTTTCCTCCTGTTTTAAGGCCGATGCGCCCGTAGCTCTGCAGAGCACGAGGCACGCCTGCCCTGCAATACGCCCCTGGGAGTCTGAGCCAGGCTGCCTCGCCTCGGCCGAGGCTAATTGAAGGGCAGAGCAGACTGCATGAAGGGAGTCTGTGTGAAGGAATTAGCCGAAGGCTAAACTGAGACCAAGTTTAAAAAATAAACCATAGAGAATCACTCACTCCTAAGAACACAGCACAACTCTTAAAGCTTTTTAGATTGTAATATTTACACATTTTTATGTATTTTAAATCTAATAATTTCAGTTTACTTCTATAGCACAAATTCACAAAATATTTCATCTCAAGGCACTTTCCAGTTCACCAGATCATCCAGTCAGATTGATTCAAAGTTTTCTATCTAAGGAA